CTGAAGTGTAGGGACTGACAAGGTACTAGGTAGGTCTATATTTTGAAATTTCACTCTTTTTATCATTACTGACCCCCAGCAGGGGGCTTCTTATGCGCGCAGATTTTGTCTTCACCCTCCGAGCTGAAGTCTGTGAGGTAGGCACAGAGTCTGCGTGCGCCCGGTGCCGTGGTTAAGCTTGCAGGGCACACCGAGTGCTGGCTCCCAGTCACCTGTACACCAGGGCCTTTAAAGGGCCGGGCCAGGGCAGGTGGAAGACAGCGACTTTCAGGAAGACAATGAGACACTGAACATCATTTTCTTTTAAAATGTCAGGTAAATCCTTTCTGCCAACAGAAATCCAGACTCTTCCCATCTAGAACCTCCACCTAAAGACAGAGGGTGAGTGAAGGAGGCAAGCCACTGAGAAGGGGCCAGGAAGCCCTGAGGCGGAGAGACCTGGATATTTCAGTACGATCAGGTTTCGTTTCATCAAGTTAGTTCTTCCCATCAAAATCCTGTTTGGTGCGATCATCTGTCTGACTTGCTGATCATTAAGTGGCAATGCTAATTGACTTTATTATTGGATCACACAGGGCCTGGCTTCCCCATGAGTTTGTATTTATCAACTCTAGTATGTGACAGTATCAACTATCCCATGAAAATGCACTATTAGCCTAACATTTGTTCTGGTATTTTGAAGTCACCTTGTAAATTCAGGTTAGTCAGCATTCCATATCCCAAAGAAATAAGAAACAGATCCATTATCCCAAGAAAAAGGTCCACTGGAAATACAAAAATGGGGACATTTTCCAAAATGTGTATTTCTGCTACACTTGTCTCTCAGCTCCACATCCATCCATCTAAACTCACTTCTGTTCAATTAACATCTATTGAGCACCTACTAAGTTCCAGGCACTGTGCTAGGCAGTAGTGATGCTGGGGCTGGGACTCTGCAAACACATTTCTCCTCAGCCACCAGGTTCCCTGTCACACCAGTAGGGGGTGCTAGAGGGAGCATGAAAGGCTTAAGGATGGAGAAGAGACTGGTTTTTACCGCTTCCTGTCAGCATCACCCCAATAGCAGCTCCAGTTCCTAGCTTTACTTCACACGCCCAGAACCAGCCTCATCACACCTGGCAGATGCCAGCGCCGACAGAACAGCGTCCTCTCGAGGGCTCTGAGTTCCAGCTCCTCAGGGCCCTCTTGAGCTTCTTTCTACCTTGTGATAACCCCAGCTTCTTCCTTCTACTCTCCCAACCTTGGGGATGGTGGCTGCTTCCTATGCCACCACCACCAACCCCATGTTCCCCATTTACCTCTTTTGTCCCTCTGTATCTGTCATATTGAGTTTTGTGTTAGCTGTTAAAATAACTTATGTAGTTTCTATTTTGCTGACAAATACAGTGCAGTTGGAAGCCACAACTTTATTTATAACAGTGGTCAAAAGAACAGACTCTGATACCAGTCACACCTGCAGGGAAATCCCAATCTATTTATGTAGTACCTGGTAATTGTGAAAACTTTAACTCATCTCTCTAGGTCTCGTTTTCTCAATCGCTTTCATTTATTCAATTAACATTTATTGAGTGCCTACCACCTTCCAGGCACTGTGCTAGGCAGAGAGAGCTAAATGTTATGCAAAACAGTAAAACTCCCTGACGTCCTGGGGCCTTCTGTTGTGTGAATCAAAGGAGACAGCTCAGGTAAAGTACGTCCTCAGCCTTCCTCTCTGTACCAGGACAGGAGAGCAAAGACCAACGGGTCTTAAAGAAAAAAGTGTCTCAACAGCTAGGTCTCTCAGAAAACGCAGCAAGTGTCCCTTCCTCCATAAGGCTGAAGGTCTCAGCCAACATAACACCCGGGCTTCATCATATGCCCTGTCCATTCCTCCTGTTGAGAGAAATGAACAACCTGTAGCAGCATTCACTCAGAAGGAAATGGGACAGACAGCCATAGGGAGGTAACACTACAAGTAGTTTTGTTTTTTCTAGAATTCCCACAGAGACAGTTACCTGTGATTCAAGGAAGGAGTAACAGCAACTGCAATGCAGGACTGAGACCCAAATGACCATGACCAACGGGTGCGAGTGGAAGAGATACTTTTCTCCACAAAGAAAATATGTATATATGTATATACACTCATTGATGCGTACATATCAAATAACCAGAACTTACTTTTTGCTTTCTGCAGTAAGACTATAAGCCTAGAGAGGCCAGGGAAGTGATGAGATGGAAAGGAAAGATTCCTGATTCCATTTAAGCCTGAATGCAAGGGCCCCAGGCTGTGGGCAAGGAAACGCTGGAAAGAAATCCCATCTCCACATTTTGACATAATCATTCCCTGGTCTTCCGGTGTCTAGACATTGGGCATATCGTGGCAATGATGGCCAGTGCTCTCAGCGAGGAAGTTGTTTCTGCAAGATTCCTGTGTAGCTAAATTCTTGAAAGCCATATCTACAACAATTGATAAGCCTATAAATGCAAACTAAACTCCTCACCCTCAAATTTTTATTCATTTTGACATCATTATGACCATCAAAAGTCATGCTGGGGAAAAAAAGAACACCATGGAAAATTATTACTAGAAGGTCAATTTTGCATCCTTGATCTAGGGCCTCATTATAAAAAATGTACTGTCACTGAAGGAAATTAGTGTTCCATAAGACATACAAAGCCTGGAAAGGGTTTAATTCATAAATAAATGCCAACATTTAAACAATCAAGACAGTTTCAAACTCCAGGACTATTGAAATGAACACTACATATTGCCTGGATGCTCTATAGTTCCCCTGGGAATATAATTCAATTCCAGTGAAATCATATGGCCAGGCCCAAGAGAAGTACTTTGGATAAGAGGTGATAGTTCTGTTTTTCCATTAGAAACAAATTATTATTTCTGTATTTAGGGCATCACTCAGGCAATTCCTTTCATGACTTATAGTACTCTTGAGCAATTAAAAACAATTACAAGATGAAAGAAGTAGGGGACAAATGTCAAATTCAGAACAACCCACGGAAGGCTGAAGAACCCCAGAGAGCACTGCTGTCTCAGACAGAAGGCAAAATCATCCCTTCTGCTCAAGGAAATATAAATGAGCAGTGAGTGTGCATCCCAGCAAGAACATTATTACCCAGCAGAGGCAACCTCCTAAATACACACTTCATCTCCGAACAAGCCTCCTAAGAGGAAGTGGGAGCAAAAATGTTCCTCCTGAAGAGGAGAAATATCACCTGGGAAATGTCTTCACCAGGGCACATGGCCGCCTTCCCTCTTATTCCCCTCACCACACTTGCAGTTATACATTCTTAGACTTGGCAGATGATGCCTAGAAGTGGCCAGGGGCCCTGGCATATCAGAACAGCCCCTGCATTTCTGGGCTTACTTACCACCCAGGCCATTGTGATGACTGTAGTTTCTTTTCCCCAAAATGCTCAGAGTCGTGTGATTCGGGGTGGTCAGCATCCGCTTGGTAGTGGGAGTTTGTAGAGTTGGTGTAGATCGAATTACATTAGGTTTCTTCGAAGGATGGATCTCTGACAGGGGAAAAAAAGGTTTCTCGACTCAGAACATGGTATTAAAAATCTGTGTGGAACTTCCCTGGTTAATAGGCACACATCTTATTTCTTAATGAGCTGAGAGTCAGTTCTTTAGGAGCCAGCCTGTTTTCCCAAGGACTTGCATAATTAATCAGCTTCAAGTGCTGTTACCATGACTGCTTTCCTTATCAAAAGTGAGCTGGTTCTTCCCTGCTAACTGGAGCTCTAGCTTCATGTTGTCAGTACAAGCAAGAAAAAGAAAGAAAAGGGAAAAAAAAACATAGAAGGTCACTTAAATACAAGCTCTACTAAGGGAATAATAAGGCATCTGACTCTTCAAGGTATTAGCAATCCAAAAACTTTCTGGAGAGGTAGCCTCAGAGAAAAACCACCTCCGTGTTCTATCAAACCAGTCTTAGCAAGTACCCATATCTGGTGCATAGAGCTTTCTGAAAAACAGGGTTCCTCCTCTGATTCTTCACCCAGGGTATGGGAACCAGGGCCAATCACTCCCAGCCCAGAACATATTGATATACATGAAATCTGACACCAAACTCCAAATACTCGAGTCAAGAAGCAGAAGGAGAAAAGAGGATATATCACAAAACTATAATGTGCATGTGGCATATGTGTGTTTAAGTGAAGCATGTTGTTGTCAGGCACACAGCCCAGAACCACTCATTCACTTTTTGGACAGAGTAGAGGGTCAGCAATTGCAATACTGTAGGAATTGGAATTTAAGGACCTTAGTCTATTACTGATACTGAACAACCTCTTCTCCAAAGCTAAACTTGCTCACTGATTCTGAGTTAACACCCAGTGTGCCAACCAGGGTGAAAAGCCACCCTTCTTTTCAGGTGAGGGCCAGGATAACAGCCTCATTTACTGAAATTTAGGAAGAGCCCTTAGCATTATTAGAATTACTGTATCTTGTTCTGGTCAAAATCCTACACTTGTCAAAACTGGATCAAGTACTAACCAAAATACGGCACTGATTTTTTTTCCAAAATAGCATTGAAGGTCTGCTAACCTCATTTTAAAAATATGTATTTCTTATTGATTTTTAGAAAGAGAAGAAGGGTGAGGGAGAGAGAGAGAAACATCGATGTGAGAGCAAAACATCCATCAGCTGCCTCCAGCACACCCCCTACGGGAGATCGAGCCCGCAACCCAGGCAATGCGTCCTGACCGGGAATCAAACTGGCAACCTTCCGGTGCAGGGGATAACACCCAACCAGCCACACCGGCCAGGGCTGCTAACCTTATTTTTTATTGCAACCTCCACACTCTATGCTCCATCCAGACCAGACAAACCTGCATTCCCTGAGCTTTTCAGGTCCTTGACTCATTGAGGCCTTTGTTTACCTGGTTCTCTTAGCCTAATAAGGGAAAAAATAAATATTTTCCTGTTTTTCAAATCCTATATATCTTTCAAGGCTGAGATCAAATATCATTTTCTTCATGTAGGCTGCCTTAACACTCACCAGAAATAACTACTCCTTCCTCCAAGTGCCCCATGCATACTACCTGTAATTCCTTTACAGAATCTTTAACTGTCTTAACCTGTGTACTTTCCCCAGTAGACTAAGATTTTTGAAGGCAAGGTCTTACTCATCTGGGTGTTCCCAAACCACTTAGTATAGTGTCTTGTACATAGTAAATACTCAGATATATGTTATGTAGGGATATAATTCAGCTAGTAGGACAACTCAGCTTTGAGCATATCTGGGAGAAACCCACACCAGTTTACCCACAGGAGGGATACACAATTACCTGTGGAAAGGCCAACTAATGTGCAATGCCATATTCTATTTTCTATGATCAGAAACTTTGCCTTACAAGTGAGAAGGGGCTTCTAGGATTAGGTCTTGCAAAGAAAGACAGAAAGCAAACCTCAAGGATTTAACCACCATGACCTAGGCCAGTGATGGCGAACCTTTGACACGCGTGTCAGAGATGACACGCGAACTCATTTTTTTGGTTGATTTTTCTTTGTTAAATGGCATTTAAATATATAAAATAAATATCAAAAATATAAATCTTTGTTTTACTATGGTTGCAAATATAAAAAAATTTCTCTATGTGACACGGCACCAGAGTTAAGTTAGGGTTTTTCAAATTGCTGACACGCCGAGCTCAAAAGGTTCGCCATCACTGACCTAGGCTATGCCTATGATAACCATGTGACATGCTCAGGGGCTATCAAAGCAACTCTTTAGCCCCCGAGGAATAAAACAAGAAATAAGGTGGCAGACTAACATCAAAGAGGGAGTTGTGAGCTTCTGACTGCTAGCATGCTCAGTGAGGACCAGATAATATGCCAGGCTCAAGGCTACACTTTGATTTAAACGACTGGCTGTCTAAAGTTTGGACACTTCCTAACTACAAATTCTGACAGAGCAATAAGGTTCAGTGCAACTCTGACTACATATTTCACTTTTACTGAGAAAATGAAAAGGCAAGAATATTAGAAATATGCCATTATAGCTTCTAAGTATATTAGGAACCATTATTTTGCAAATTATCTTAAACCTTTGCCAAAAAGAAAAAAGGTCATTGCCCAGTAATTTTTTATACTATTGTTAATTGTGATATTTCAACATGTAAATGGAACCATCATCTTTGGCAACTTTCAGAAAGCAATACAAATGCTCCTCTTTCAAAGTAACCTTAATTGGCATATCATACTATAATTTTTTTAAGGTAGCTTAAAAATCAGTTTGTTTTTTTTAAAAAAGGTAAATAAACCAATCCTTTTCTCTCTATTTAAGGGAAGGAGTGAGGTGGACTGAAGTACTAGAAGGATCGAAATTATAATATTAAGCCCAGCCAATGTTGCTCAGTGATTGAGCATCGACCTGTGAACCAGGAGGTCAAGGTTCAATTCCTGGTCAGGGCACATGCCCAGGTTGCAGGCTTGATCCCCAGTAGGGGGAGTACAGGGGGTGGCAGAGCAATGATTCTCTCTCATCGATGTTTCTATTTCTCTCTCCCTCTCCCTTCCTCTCTGAAATCAATAAAAATATATTTTTAAAAAATAAATCTTAAGACGATTTATTCATTAATAATTTAATGGTTCTTATTTTCATTTTGTTGCTTAATCTGTATTTATATACATAAGTGTACACTGCATTTTTATTCAATGACTTTTTTGGAAAAAGTAAACAAATCCATAATTGTGTCTGTTGTGTATATTTTGGCAATAAAAAAAGTTCCTAAAACAAGATAAATTGACTCTACATACGAAGGAATACAATTTCAGCTATTCAAAAGGCTTGAATTTAGTTGAGGTATGTCAATTTAGGATAGCCAAATATTTATAAGATACAGAAATTGTTGAGGTTTTTCCCTCTATTAGAAAGTACCCACCTAAATACCCAATGATACATGCCAAAGGTTTCCTGGTGCTTTTGCTTTTCTGGGGACTTCCAGAGAGTTCAGCATGTCTGTCTGCATCTGAGGAGAGAAAGAAACATGGAGACAACCAATGAGGCCGTTTTCTCTTCCTACACTACATACACCACAGAAACAACAGGTGCAAGTGCAAAACAGTGCCAAACATCCCCCAGATTCCTGTCATTTCCTTTCGGGTTTCAGAAAACCATTTGAGATTCTGTGCGTGCCCATCTGAAAGGCAGTGGGAATATGCTTCCTTTCTACATTAAAGCAGAAAATTTTCCATGAAGCACGAGGCCGAGTCCATCCTGATGGAAGATTAATCTGGCATGGAAGGCAGAAGTGACAGCTGACGAAGGTAACTACCCCCTTCACCACCCCTGACTCAGATGGAGTGGTTTTCCACTGAGGAGCACTTGGTCTAGCTTGGTGACACTCAATTCCGTGAGATGACAGCCTCACAAGGACGAAAATGGGTCATTTGGTTTTATCACTGGTTTCCTATCCTTCGTATCCCACCCTGATGACATTCGTGCTGAGATTTAAAAGGTCACCTGTATGTAGAGTATTTTATCTGCTAATCAGAATCAGTAAGGTACTGTGAGGACGGATATTAGTGGATAAGAGCTCACAGCACACTCCTCATTCCCTGCCGCAGACATTTCAGACAGAGAAAAATAAAGCATACACCATGAACACTCTGCATTTTAATGAGCTGTCATTAGGACAGAAGAATAGATGTGGAACCCGGCTGCCTCACATACCAGAGTTGTAAAAATAGAGTTTGAAGGGACAAAAAAGTGTATTGAAGTTGTTTAAATTTGCATATATTGTCATAAAGCTTAACAGAGTGGCTCTGGCAGGTATGATTCTATATCTATGCCTTTTCCCCACCTTCAAATATTGGACAAAAATGTCCTACAGGCTTTCTGACTCAACTTAGAGAATTTGCTCTTTCACAGGCTGAGGCCACATTTCTAGGCATACATACAAGACATTTCCTTTGACATCCATAGGAATTCTCTGCACTATTAAAACATACAATTCTATCTGAAACCTCAAGTAATTTAAAGTTAAAAAATTAACTTTTTCATAAGCTCTGGCCCTCTCTTTCACCAAGGGAACTCTTTTCTAATAACAAACAGTAAAAGGTGGGAAAACAGCATTTTAAAAATATGAAAATAGACAAAGTACATACTACAGAGATCCTCAAATAGGAATCTGAATATGTATCCCAAACACTGGCTAATTATTATGAAACCACTGACAACTATGAAGATTCCATTTCTTTTCCTACTATTCAGCTGATTTCCTTTGGGGGGAGACTTACTAAGCTATGAAGCTTTTCACCCATCGTTAATAGCGAAGATACAGGTGGAAATATAATCACCATGCTTTGGAAGAGTAATCTAAATAAACATTAAAAAGCAGCCCAAATCCTACAAGGATCAAACACCTGTCAAATCACTGTGAACTAATACTAAATAATAATTCCTTCCTAATATTATTAATTCTTCTGAAGTTCTATTTGGGATGAGGACAAGAGAAAAATTTCTCCTTTCTATTAATAAAGCTTGAATGAATCCCCTTGTTTATTTTCTCAGTGTACTAGACAAAGGCAATCGCTATATCACTATCACTAGCAATTAAACTAACTTTGCTCTATTCCAGTCTATAAGGCCCAAAGGAAAACTACCAGTGTGGCTGCAATCGATGGACTCCCCTAAAACCATCACCCTGACAAGAATCAACAAATCCATCAAAGGGGTCACCAACACAATACCCAAAGATATTTCACTTTAATGTTTTTAATTCCTCATTAAATTAGTTGGAGTAATTATGTGATGTTCCAAGTGACAATTTACAAGAGCACCTGAATGGGGGATCAAAGCTCTTAAGAAGGATCCATATTTCACTAATCCCAAACGAATTATCAGTCTCAACTATAAAGAAATTGGGAAGGTGCTAAGACTATGAGCTGCTGTTTAACATAAAAATGGCAGCCATTCAGTGATATATAAATGGGAAAAATACATTCCACCCTGAGGGAATGATCATAAACATAGGATTATCAGGTCTGCACTTGAGTTGGTTAAGTAGTAGAATCTAATTCCAAGTTGAATTAGCATCTTCGAATAAGACCAGGCCAGCGTGAGTCAGTCCTCACTCCCAAATTATTCTCTTAACTATTTAAACAGAGATCGTTCATTAATGTGCAGTAAAAGTGCACAGATAAAGAAAGCGATCTGACAAATGCCCAAAGAACCCAGAAGGAATCAGAATCTGCCCAGAGACAGGGTGAACTCCGCATCTCACTCAAGTTACTGGACTGAACACAAGGCACCTGTCACTGGCTTCCAAGAGGATGCTCTACAGCTCCTTCAGGTAAACCTGGAAAAACACTGTTAGTTTTATTGCAACTGATAGCCATTTTTAAAAAACTGCTTTGGGAAGATTAGGGGGATAAATGAAATGGAAAAACTGCAAAAAGTAAACATCGAATTAAAATTCACAAAAACATCTCACATGGGCTTTCGAGATCGCTGTCAAAATAAAACCATCCACAGAATTTCCTTTTAGGAACTGTAGAGGCATTTCTAAACAAGATACAAAATATAGGTGCCATTTAAAAAAAAAGATAAATTCAACTACGTTTAAAAAAATCTATTTGGCAAATACATCATAAACAAAGTCAAAGACAAAATGGGGAAATATTTGCATCACATATCACAGATGAGCTAATTTCCTTAAAATATAAAAAGTTCCCACAAATCGAGACTTTTATCCAACAGAAAATAGGCGAGGGGCAAAAACAGTTGACAGAAAAGGAATGTACAAATATATGCAAATATTTCCATCTCACTCAAAAAGAAAAATGCAAGCTCACATGTCACCCGTCAACTAGCCAAGCGTTTGAAAGATGGGTAACACCACTGGCGAGGTCCTAGAGAAACAGGCATCTCTAGACACCGTGGGTGGGAGTGTAAATTGCACTTTTCTAAGGGCAACTGGGTAGCAACTATCAAAATTCAAAATGCATGTTCATCAGTTTGAAATATCTATGTAGGGATATTTGTTGCAACATTACTTCTAATAGAAAATGGTTGGAAATAGCCTAGGAATTCTTAGGCTAATTAACCGAATTAAATTTTTTAAAAAAGTAATCCAGAATACCTCTGGATACTTTAGATACTGGTAACAGCGGTTACCTCTATAGAGTAGGATGGGATCGGTGATGAGATTTGTAACCACTTTTGAATCTGCAGAAAGATTTGAAGTATCCATTCAGAAACAAATTTTATTACCAAAAATACCAAAATAAAAAACCCAACTGTTCTCGCCTAATGTTAGAGCTTAAAATTTCACAAAAGTTTATATAAGTAATAACTTTTGCTGAGCCATCTCTAGAAAAAAATCAGAAAATATGTTACAAATTTCTTATGAATATGGGCCCTTGGGATAATTCCAAGTTGAATTAGCAACTTTGAACAGGAAAAGAAATATGGCTCCAGGTGCCTCTTGAACTTCATTGTGGGTATACTGCTGTTATTCAAGTCTGGTATGCTGTCAACTCAGAAACCACTTACTGACCCATGCAAGCTACAAAGGTGGCAGGTAAATCCTTTGGATCCACTTCTCTAAGACCCAGCTTCATTGAACTACAGGATGCTGCTAATGCACCTACTTCTTCCTCAGTCTCCGAGGATCCTGAATCTCAAATAGTAACCCTGTGCTCAGCTGGTATCAGGTGATTTTACTGAGCTTTGACGAAGTCATCTGATAACTTAATGTCTGATGGCAGTATCAAGGGAGGAACCCCATCATCACATCGTGGCTTTTTTACTGAGGGGAGGGGCATCAAAGGGGAGAAGGGACAGGCTAGTCTGTCTGAAACTTGATGCTGTTACAACCATGACATCAGTCTGCAAATTTTGTCAGACACAGTACCTTTATGCAATGTCTGGTTTGGGGTTTAGTAATGCATTTTTAAAAAAATGTTTTTATTGATGTTAGAGAGGAAGGAAGGATAGCAACATCAATGAGAAACATCATCGACTGGCTGCTTCCTGCACCCTCCCTATTGGGGATTAAGCCTGCAACCTGGGCATGTGCCCTGACCAGGAATTGAACCAGGGACCTCTTGGTTCATGGGTCAATGCTCAACCACTGAGCCCACATTGCCTGGGCTAGCAATGCATTTTTAATAAGCACTATCTATATGGTAGAACTGGCTCAGGTATTCTACTAATTTTAGTAATTTGGGGCATGGACTTATATATTCACACATAAAAGTATATTATTAAAATGAATAGATATTTGGAGAAACTGGTTTTAAAAAATCACTTTCCATATATCATATATATATATTTAAACATGTTGGTCATATAATATACTTATTTGCTTTTAAATTATTTAAAACAGAAACTATATTCCTATGGTTCAAAATTGAAAGTCTGGAAGAATGAAGTGAGTGGTGAAGTCTCCTTCCCAACACCTTTCTCTCAGCTTTCCAATTTCCCTCCCCACACTACTTCTTACGTTTTCCTTGGGATATTTTACACATATGCAAACAAAGATTCCCCTTTAAGAACTCGTAATTAAGAGTATGGTCTCCCCCATCTAATTGAGAGTTTAGCTCCCCTCTTTTTCAGTCATATGCAGTCTGTAACCCCATAAATTCTGGTTTTGATGGTGCTAATGAAGGGGTCGACTTTTATAGTGCTTATAAGAGGAAGATGCTCAAGTTCTCAGGGAAAACTACTTCCCTTTTCCAATATTACGATGAAGTATTCTAAAATGCATTAATTACAGCTCTTAATTTATCAATATCTTTAGAATTACAACCTTCTACCTGATCTGAAAGAACATTCATACTGCACCACAGTGATTAACTTTGTGAGGGGAGTAACAGGGTCACCATCGCCTTTGAGAAACCAAGAAAAGCTTACACCCCAAAATACACATACATTCTCACTGGACCAGAGACATGGTTGCTTACAGACACCAGGTTATTAACACCTGATCTCACTAACAAGACAACATCAAGGGACCTGCTGAAGAGGCTGCAATACGGTACACATACGGGAGATGATGCAAGAATCAATTATACGCTAAAATTACTGAGCAGATGCCTGCTGAAGCTTTATCATTTTAAATCTCAAGGTAAAATTAATTATTCTGAGAATCTAATTCTATATGTAACCCAATGAACTAAATACAAAATAAAATGTTCCTTGAATCTCATCACAAGTGACTATACTCTTATTATTACTATATATCTATGTTTGTAGAAATAAAATACAGGTAATTTAATCTTGACTTTTTAAAAGCACTATGGCCTTTCAATTGGGAGGGGGAGGGGATAAAATGAGGCGGCAGAAAAATATACTTCATTGAAGAATCATCAAAATAAACACAATTTGCAAATTCACTGAGTAATGAACAGAAAAGCCACAGGAAACAGAAGCTTCCTCAAGCAGCCAATTTAGTTGGTGATGGTTTCTTTTCCATTCATAGGAACAAAGATGATAATGGAAACATTTCATTCATTTTCTTTCTCAAATGTTTTTCCTCTTACTTAAGAAATTATATATAAGTATGTGTTTTAAATCAACTAAGCACTTTAGATGAATATAAATATTCCAGTTCCTTAAAATTGATTGTAAAAAGTGAAAATAGCATAAATCCCTCAACTCTGAAATGCTAGCAACGAAACCTCAACATAAGCCTAAATTCTCAAATACATATGAATCTAATGTAGCTAAATTTCCCCTCCATGGGACTCAGAGATTACTATCAATTTCCACTCCCTTTACAAAGCACTTTTCTTCTTATAAAGCTTTTACCTGTACATTTTTAAAGCCTTTCAACTATCCTGCTGAAAATTATCTTTAGGAACAAAATGTTTTTCAATCATTATTCCTTTTATGGATACCCTCTTTAAATCAAAATGGGAACATCCTGTAGTAAGAACTTTCTTATCTCAAGGACAAAGAAAAAACATCTACTGAATATCTTTCCTATTTCCCATGTTAAGCCAGACAGCAAGTTTTCTTCTCATCCTTTAGGGAAAGTTGCATGGCTCTCACATGCTAGCCAGGAACGTGACCGAAAGGAGCATGACTAGAATCAGAGTTAACACAACTTATGGACACATTTATGGGTACATGGTAATAACAGAACAATCCATGATTCATTGGTACATATGACCTTTGTTCTAACAAAAAAATGAAACATAAGCAAGAATGAACGCATTGCAAATGAGAGTAATTAAGTCATGTAAATGTCTGTGGAAATATATATGATATATGATTATGAAATGGAAACCAAATTGGACAATAGAAAGAATGCTCAACAACAAATTCGGACATCAGTTTGTAAAAACTAAATGTGTATTTTCAGAAAATTCACCCAAGACTTTAAAATTCATTTGTAATTTGCTAAATCTTCTAATAAATCTAGTGTTTATTATAAAGCACTGTGAATTTCCAAAATATTGTATGATAATTGTAAAAGGTTCATGGGAAAACAATACAATTTATAATGACATACAATTTTTCATTAGTGTAAATTGGCAAATTTTATTTAAACCTAATGAATTCATGTAAGACTGGACTGCATGTCTCAGTTATGGAGTTTCACTGTACCACCACCCTGGGGGATTACATTGTGACACTACCTTCCAGGTAAAAGTGCCTCAATAAGACCTATGTAGGCAATTCCATCACAAAGCCCCACTGGACAGGACCACCTCCCATCATCTTTTGCTGAACACTATGCAAAAAACTGCAGAGGTGGCAATGTTTTCTTTTCAGGTTGGCATAATGCAAATGGCAGCAGACAAAAACAATGTAAAAAAAAAAACCAAATAAAAGGCTGTACACAAGAACTTATGTTTATTGCAAATAAAAACAAAACAAAAAAGAGAGCGGGAAAGAGAGAAAATGGTCAGAAGCACAACACATAAGGTTAAGAATTCAAAAGCATCTTACATTCTGCCCTAATGGCAGCATAATTAATAGGAACAAACGGCCGTCTCGCTGCCTGCCGCAGCCGGAGGGTATTTTTGCAGACCTGACGAGCAAATTTTGTGAAATATGTAGTGTGAAGGAAGAAAGCTTGGCGGGTCTTCACTGCAGACTTTGGGCTCCCAGTGTTGCGGACGGGCATCCCCTGCATGGCTTGGCGAGACATGTGGCTTCTGACACGGGGGTCCTGTAGAATCAGACACCAACACACAGGTGAAGAACAGGGCTGGTTAAAGTGCAGTACTACTGGCATCATGCTCAAAGAACAGTGCAGTTTTTAAATCTTCCACTGAAGCATCTATAACTCAAAAGCCTATCCCAGTGGTCGGCAAACTCATTAGTCAACAGAGCCAAATATCAACAGTATGGCGATTGAAATTTCTTTTGAGAGCCTAATTTTTTAAACTTAAACTATATAGGTAGGTACATTGTTATTAACTTAATTAGGGTACTCCTAAGCTGGCCTTTGCTAAAAACGTCCTCAATCCAATAGACCCCTTCCAACTCTCCCATCCACACTCGTCTTGTATACTTGTTTCCTCTATCTTTTGTCACCTGCGCGCGATTTGGGGACACGACTAGCACTAACCACTGCACAGTGAGACTGCTGACTGACTGGCTCACTCAACTCATGCATGAATCGCGCGTGCCTTCCCCACGCTGCGTATCCCGCGGTCCGCCTGCGCCGCGTCTCCCGTTGCCTGACTGCCGGACCGCCCGACACCCCCCACTTCTTCTAATGCCACTTCTTCAAAATACACTCGCCCAGGCCGAAAATCAACTTCTGCGCACGGGCCACGAAGTTTCAATCGCACTGTACGAGCGCGCCCGCACGTGGTATTTTGTGGAAGAGCCACACTCAAGGGGCCAAAGAGCTGCATGTGGCTCGCGAGCCGCAGTTTGCCGACCACTGCCCTACCCCAAAGGACAAGATTAAAAAGTTTGTACTTTTGGAAAGAAGGTGGGGAAGTAGAGAAGAAAACTGGATTTGGGGTGGGGGAGTATGTATGTGTTTTTAAATTGACCCTAACAATCCCAAACTATATTCATAATAGGTTTTTAAAAATATGCCAAGGGGTTAGATTATTTTGAGTGTTGTTTAAAAAAATATTAAAGGACTCCAAGATCCTGTTAGTCCTCAAATATAATAGCCTCCCTCTAGTAGACCGGGGTGCTTGATATCTGCTATGAGAATTTTTCCAAAATCCTATTTCAACTGTTGTTCACCTCAAGATTAAGTCCACACGTTCTTGTGCCTCCTATGATAGCCAAGGAGTGGGGAAAAAATGTTCAAGTTGTTATTTTATGTAATAAGATACAATTTCAATAGTATCTAAAGGCTGCAAACTGTTTTCCCAAAAAAGCAATTAAAACAAACATTTCATCAGTAAGCTTTCTACTTATGCTAAGGCCTCCCACACACATTGTTCTTTTGCCTCTGTAATCTTCTCACAAAACAAATACTGAATACCTGTGAAGACTGGATTTGTCCCTGCCCTTCGCTCCACCTTCACCCTGAATATTATGGTGCTATGTTTAGCTATAAAAATAGCTTTGTTTGCTTTGAAATCACCTAACACTGTACTTCTGTTTTCAAGGACTGATCCAGCCACTGAAAAATATGACCATCCCCAAGGCTATAAGGACTATTGCTCATGTACCTCTGTAGGTGGGCTGGGAGATAACTTCTCTTCTTCTGACTGAGTGGGCATTTTCAGGCCGCCATATTTTTTCCAATAGAGCCAACAGGTTGCACATAATCTACACTGCATATTAGGTGGACCCCAAGAATACCACTGATGAGACTGTGTAGCTAAAGATGGAGGAAAAAGAAAAACAAAGATGCTATAGAATTTGTAACATCAATATATAATCAAACATTTCAAAAAATATTCCAAAGCCACTTTCAGTTTACGTTATTTTTCTTCCCCCAACTTACAAACCATATATGAAAGTCTAATATCCTATATAATAAAAGGCTAATATGCAAATCGACCAGTGGAATGACCAGTTGCTATGATGCGCACTGACCACCAGGGGGCAGACACTCAACGCAGGAGCTGCCCCCTGGTGGTCAGTGCGCTCCCACAATGGGAGCGCCACTCAGCCAGAAGCTGGGCTCACGGCTGGCAAGTGCAGCAGTGCTGGCGGGTCCCACCTCCACTGCAGTGCTAAGGATGTCTGACTACGGGCCTAAGCTATCAGTCGGACATCCTCCAAGGGCTCCCAGACTGCGAGAGGACACAGGCTAGGCTGAGGGACACCCCCCACCTCCGCCCGAGTGCACAAATTTCGTGCACCAGGCCTCTAGTATACATATAGTTTTCAAGACTCAGAATTCATTAAAAACTACATATATATACCAAGTGCCCGTGGCATCTGTCTAAGAGAAGCTATTAGATGACATATCCTACATAGTATGTTGTGCTGCTGGGGGAGTTTTTGTTAATTACAAATATTTTCTATTGTGTACATTTCTGGAAACAAGCTATCAGAAAATTATTAATGCTATTAGTGTTTAAAAGTTTAAAGCCAGTTTTCCAAACCTATAGTTCGGTTAAGGTACTTAGAGGGGCCCCACTGACAGAGGTAGGAATGTGACAGAAGCAGGTATCTGTTTTTCATTCCTTAATCAATAGATAAAATAATTATTTTAAATTTCTTCCTTTAAAAAACAGAATTCCTTCAAGACTGTAAGTATATATTCAGTGAGCATATGTGGCCGACATCACAGCATGCTTAAGACCTAGTAACTTGGTTAATTTACCACATAGCTAAACACTGCAAGCCTGTGTTAGTCTTATTCTGCAGTTTAAATTACTGCCATATAACATTCAAAGTATCCCCATCTGAAGTTTGAAAACACTGACACTGACACATTTAAGTTAATGAGGTGCATAAAAATCATTATTATAATTCTGTAAGTTTGCCTTGGAATATTCCTCCCGATCTATAGCACATAATGTTCAAGCAGCACAGTCAGGAGTCAGCTAACACTTCACAGCCAATGTCAAAAAAAGAAGATATGGTGGTCGTTATAATCAAATTGCCTTTTTAGTTCATTGAGAATTATACTGTGCACCTTGTCATGTATTACTTTTGGAGGACCCCTTGCAAGCAGCAGCCCCAAAACCTTCCTCTTAAAATTTAAAAACAAATCATAAGTTGATTTTTTACAAACACAAATGATAAGAATTTTACATATTAGGCATGGACTTATTTTAGATTCTGAAAACAAAATTTTTACCCAAACTAAGACATATCATTTAATATTTGTTAACAAATGCTTTTCTCCACACATAATTCATTCATGTTCAATTGAAAAATGACAAATAGAAAAGAGCAATTTTTTCTACAATGATAAATCTTACAAACATATTATATTATTTTGATAGAAATTATTTAAAAATATGAACCAAAAATAAATATTATAAAATTAAGAGTGCTTATTTGTCATGCACACAGAAAAATGACAGAATAATTATTTAAAGGTATATGTGAGATTATGTCTAAAGGGGGTTATAAATAAAAGATAAGACAGATTAAGTCACTACCATTTATCTCCAGGATTCTTTTTTTAAATTTTAAATATAAATGCACTTTGAAATCTAAGAATTCCCAATTCAAAAACATTTGTGATGCAGTTCATGTAAAATCTTGACCAAAAGAAGCTAATTTTCCACAAACTGTTTCCCCTTGTGCTCCCATGGTGCAGAAAATGGGTAGATATGTACCATTTCTATGAAGTCACAATTTGTCTGGCTCACACCTTCCTTGGTTTCAGAAGAGAAATTTTATGATTTGGTTTTAAGAGCCTTTTTAATGCTGAAACGCCCTCATTCATATGTCCTTAGGGCAGCCGGCTGCATCTACCCTCAAAGAGCTGCTGAGAGACAAAAACTAGGGACCAAGTAGACTTTTAATAAATATTTGTTTTCTTCCCTCTCCCACCCAAGCATACTTTGGCTGGTATAAAACATAGATGATAATGTCACCAATACTCCATTAAGAGATGATATTGTTGTATGAGATTTTACATAAACATAAAAAGTATATCAACTATGTAACAATTCATCTCACCAACCCAATAAATATAATACTACCAGCCTCTGGTAGAGATTTTTGACAGGAATGAATAAATTGGGATCCTGAGATCAAAAACAAATAACATAGAACTGCATCTCCCAAACCAGTGCTCTGAGGGAATCTGGTCTGAGGACTATAAGCAGCAGTTTACCCCCACACAGGTGTTTCCTACAGAATTATTTGGAGCCTTTAATTTGTCAAAGTATACTGAAAAACTCCAAAAAGGAATTTGGAATATTTCATGGTACCATGGTTTGCACAAAGCTAGTAACAACTCTGAATGCAACTCAGCTAACAATGTTGTATCAACAAACACAGGACCCCACAAAAGCAAATCAAAGGAAACCCAAGACTTAAATAGTCAGTGTCCAGGCGGAAGGTAAGGATGGGCATCTATTCACTCTAAGGCTGCATTATTCTGCCCTCTGCGCAGTACTGACCTCATGTACCTTCCTCCCACAGTGCCAGCACAGTTCCACGCACTTCAGAGACAGGCCTCAAATGAGAAAAGAAAGCCCCGCTGGAGAAAACTTACCGTAGCAGCTCTCACAGGCTCGCCCTAAGAGGGGATTCTGCGGCTGGAATGTGGTTCCCACGGCCCCATTCACAGTACCAGGTTTGCCATTGCTGGTGGATATTTGGTTGGGATTCGGTTTGCTGCTTCCAATGAAATGTAAAGTAAGGTCATAAAAATGACTTGTACAAATAAGGCAAAGGCTCTACACTTCATTACTGATTTATCTGAATTACACATAAATAAATCTGAATGCTTGGTGAAGAAGAAATACACTGGTAAAAGTGAACCCAAACCATTCATCTTTACAAAACAAGGCTATGTACAAACCGATCTCTTATGCCTGACACTCACAAAATAAATACAGCCATCTCTCTTCTCCACACAAATACAATTTCCTTAGGACACCCTCTGATTATTTTGAAAAATACAAGTTATTAAGCTGTATTAGCTATCACAAATTCTCCTGAGAACATAAAATACTTTTATGAATCATATAAATGAAGCCGAAGGCGATGTGCTGTGTTCAGAGGAAGGCACTGTCCTGGTCCTGCTGACTCCTGAGGGAACTTACAAAAGACCATGATCAACACAAACACTGGCTGTCAATGGGGCATATCCAGAGTTAAGTCAGCATTTCAGGAGACTTTGTTCATGGTAGTAATTTCTATTATGTTTGAACTTTTATGAAGATTACATAGCATTGGAAAGTAGAGGTTTTTCTCTTCAAGAAAAAATTTTAGGAGGAAAAGAGTGACATCATCAGAAGTGTACGTGCAAATTTCCCAGAGGCCATAATTCCCCAGAAACATGTACCCCAGATTACCTTCTACTATCTACTTGCTGTGCAAACATGGCTAACTTGTCCCCATCTAGGGTAGGCTAACTCCCCAGCTTATAAGCCATGACCGAGGATACTGCACAGGTATATATAGTATGTCCTCAATAAACTGATAATTCACTTAACATGTATTTATTCAGTACCTGACTTCAAGGAACTTTCACGTCTATTTGGGAGAAATAAATGCTGAATGACTGTATCTTCCCATGATTACTAAAGTAATGAGTGGTCACAACTATCAAGACACTTGGCGTTTCCACACAGAGTTGGTTCAGGAGTTTCCTCTTTGCTGTTTTTCATTCCCATAGTTCCAATTACCAGCAAAAGCCTAGTATGTAAACTTGGCCTGACAGCAAATTAAGATTTCTTCCTGGCATTGTTACTGTAACTCTTGGTGACACCCATCACCACCCCCAGATGAAATCATTGAACCGCTGAGTGCTCTGAAGTCCCTATTCGATATACAGGGCTATTATTTACACTTTAACCTGTGCCAGCAATGTGTTTTGAAGACAAATTGGTTTTAAAAAACACATTTTAAGCCAGAAAGAATGTATTTCTCTTCTTATAGTTTTCATGTGGAAATGTACAAAATGAAAAGTGGTAATTTAGAATGATTAAGATGTGCAAGAAATATAATATTTCTGATTTTTAAAAATCTATTATAGCTAATAGACATGATGGCCCCTTGAAATTAAATAACTTCCCCAAAATATGAAAATTTCTGATATTTAACCCTGGGCTAAAATATATGTGTTGAAAAAGAGCTAATATAAATTTACAGTTGAACTGCCTGAAAAAAAGAACAAGAGTACATACAACTTTAGTTCTTCACCTGAATCTAGAACGTTATTTGACTGAGTAAACTACTGATCTTAATATTATAATAATTACAAAAGGAAAACAAGTGTTCAAAGGCTGAATATACTTAAACATGTGAATCACTTAAACTATGTTTTGCAAAACCAAGTACCTGCAGGTTAATTCAGGGCACAAATGACTGAGGTCAATGTGACCATCCAAATAAACTTTTACTCTAAGAAAAACATGAAAGATGTTTTAAAGTCACATTGTATGAAACTGTCCTTTTATCTGATGCCAAAACCTTTCCTCCCCCATCAGTGCTCCAGATTCTACCCCTCCACCCTCTTGAGAACTTTGTTCCCTTGATTCTCCTTCCTGGACCCTCCTCATTAACATGTAATGTATTTCTCCTATTTAAAAACTCCCCCATTTCTCTATCCCAACCTACTCCCCAAAGCCGAGAACTTTCTCTCGACTGCCCTTTGCAGCCAGGTTTCTTGAGAGCTGCAATCTTCAGTGTCTGCAGCACCGTGGCTCTATGCAGTCCTCACCACGGCATTAAAGATCACCGATAACTTCTGTGATGCTAAGTTCCCTGGCTATTTCTCACCAGCATCTGACACTGTTGATCTCTTTCCCTCCTTGAAACCCACTCCTCTCTCAGCTTTAATGATAATAATGCACTCACCTTGCTGTTCTTTTTTAGCTTTCATTCTCTATCTGTATCTGACATATAAATACTGCATTTCCTCAAGCTTGGTTCAAGGCATTTTTTTTCTTATTGATTCTCCTATGAAATCTCATACATAGTTTAAAACACAATGATATATGCTGATGAAGCTCAAATTTGTATCTCTAGCCCAGAACTTTCCCCTCCAATATATCCAACAATATATTCAACACCTCTGTGGACACAACAAACTCAAAATGACCTAGACCTAACCTGGTTCTCCACCACAGTTTCTTAGCTTGGTGAATGCACTTTTCCTTTGATATGACAAACATTGTAAAGTTCAAGAAAGCTGGTATGCCTGCTTTTGAAAATCTGAGACAGATGAATCACAACAGATTTCCTTTGGGGAGTTATTCTTTTGTAAATAACTCAAATAAACTATATAAAATTTAAAAATATTAGAAACCACTCTGCAGAAGGGACATTATATCTCTGAATAAAAATTATGGGCCCCATAAATTACATATTATCTGTCTTGAGATAAAAGATTAGTAAGATGCCTGGCCAGTGTAGCTCAGTGGTTTGGAGTGTTGTCCCTACACCAGAAGGTTATGGGTTTGATTCTCGGTCAGGGCACATACCCGGGTTGTAGGTTCCATCTCCTCTTTCACATCAATGTGTGTGTGCATGTGTGTGTCTCCACCCAACCATGCCCTGGCTTCTGTCTCAAATATCAATAAAGGCATACCCTTGGGTGAGGATTTTAAAAAAAAGATTAGTAAGAAATATTACAATTCATTTCCTATGAGGCCTCTTATACTAGTATATAAAACTGTCTTAATGTATCAAAATTCAGTAAACAAAAGGCTAAGTATAAAGGCAACTGTACTGAGCTCACAGAGTAAGAAAAATCTTGGAGCAGTACATAGAACTTTGTAGTAAATTTCATTTTTATCCCCAAAGAACTTAGGATAGCACTATATATGTGGTGCTCAATAAACTAAATTTTTCTGAACAAATGAATGATTGAAATCCAAAGATCTCAAGAAAAAGATTATAATTCACTTAAAACATAGCATATGAAAAGAAAATTGGCATCCATGTTGATATAACAATGTTTTCTAACTCCAAAGGAAAACAATGATAGAATGCTAGGCCAAAACAATAAAAAGTTATTCACTATTTATCCAACATATACAAAGTATGATTCCAATTACTTTCCCTAACCCTAGCCCTAAGCAAATAATATAAAATTATCAACGAGATAAACAACATGCCTCAAAAGGGCAATGTGCATTAACCAAAAAAATCCATTCTACCACATACAAGTTTCATGAGTTGGTAGCTTTCTGAAATACATTTGCTTCAAACAACAGTTTCATAGGTTAGTTTCCTAACACTTTCCCCGCAGCTGTGACAGAAGTACAATTTAGGGACATTCTTTCTCTAGTCCTTTTGTTGTCTACGTGGTATTTTTCCTACCAGCCATTTTTCTCTCTAAAAATATTACTATAGTGATATAATGGGAAGCAAGTCTCATGCTTTGTAGTGGAAGAAAATAAGATACACAATGAATTCAAATTTGACTGGAACTGACCAAAATGACATTTTGTTTTGATAGAATTAATACCATGACAAATATTTTAAAAGATTTCCATTACTTACTAAGTTGGGATATACACTTGTTTCAGTTTACTCTCTGCTTCTGCTGCTTTTAGACGTTTCTAATTCAAAAGATACATAAAATATTTTACATACAATGCTTAGCAACTATTACCACTTCATTGTTTTAAAAAATCCACAAGAAAATGAATTTAAAGCATAATTCAAAAGTTGCCATTTTAAAATGTGCATATAAGCTGCAGTAATTTCTAAGAAAAGTCACTAGATTCTGAGAAACAGAACTGTAAGTATTAATAACGTTTTAGACATAGATTTTAAAAGTAAAGCAATGAACAACTCCGTCCCCCACATGAGTGAATAAACAGGACTTGTAAGTAACCGTTTTTACTTTTCAAATTTATTTTCTACCGTATTTCTTCTTTTGGTTTTCTGGGAGAAAAAACACACACATCATCTTTACTTTTAGAAAAATATTCAGAGGTGATTAGTTTTCAAAGTCCATGCAAAAGAAAGAGATAGTAACTATTCTAAGTACAATTAAATAAGCATTTACCCTCAAATGTTGGGAGGTATGCAGTATACTTTATAGCTTGGCTGAACTCACATCAGATTTTAGGAACCAATTAGGAGCCAAATGCAGGAAAAGGAATGGGAAAAAGATTATGTAGTCAAATCCAGAAACTGATCAACACAACATGAATGCAAATAGGGAAGGAAAATAATATATGGTAGATATAAAAAATAAGATAAACCAAATTATTTCTCCTCATTTTCTCAATGAGACGTAAACAAAAACATTTAGGGGGACAACTTAAAACTTTTAGGGACGGAGTTGAAATTTCTGAAAAGAATTTTATCCAAATATTTTCAACCATCCTTGAGTGATCATCTCCACCATCTTTGGGGACTCTTTCTGCTTTGAGAAACAGTTTTCAGAACACCTGGTCTTCATTTCTATCTACCTAAATTGTTTCAAATAAGCACTTTTTAAATTATACATGATGTTGATTCTGGAAATGTTTCAATAAGCCATGGGTGGCTGGCTATTCACTATTCATGATCTCAACAACTCACTATGGCAATTTTTAAAGTGATCCTTAAAATGTATTTTTATAGCATCCAACACTTGCCACTGTGCAATCACATACTTAGGAAAAATAATGTCTGTGTTAAATATATTTGCCCCTTTCCTTACCAGTTCTGACATGAGACTAGAAGAATATAAAAACAAGTACTGACTGGGGTCACTTCGGGAAAATGTGCCTTTTCCCAGGAAATAGTGCTCGAAATAAGTAACTGAGAGAGTTACCTCAATTTGGGACATGTAGGAAGGAGTCAGAAACAAATCATTCCCTGCGTCTAGAAATAACTTCGGATAAAAATTTATGTACAGTACACCAAGGCATCAAACTAGTAAGACTAACTTTACAGTTAAGATAAAAGATTTAGGAGATATATCCACACAAATGGCATTGGTCTAAATTTTCAATATGTAAAAATAAGTTGCTCAAAAGGTGTGTGCTAACATCACATCTTAGGGCATTCCCTCCAAGTATACTCACAAAGAGATGAGGCACCAGGCACCTGCAAGGAAAACACTGCCTCTCTAGCGGTACCTTCCCTGTTGTCCTTCCAAAATAGCTATCATAATAAATTCTGAAGTAAAAAAAAATATATTAAGACTAAAATCTTAAAATAATATCTTAAGGATATGAAATCATGCAGTTTAAAATAGTCTAGAAAAGATAAAGCAAACAAGACAAATTTTAAATTAAGTATATTGCTAAGAAATATTAAAATGTAAACAGAAAGTTCACTTTAATGCAATCATATTGGTAGTGATATAAAAAAAATTACCTGCTGCACGTATCTGTCAGTAGTTTTCCACATGTAATAATATTCAATGATGCTAGTCAATGATTTCCAAGGGAGCTGAAAATATATTTAATATGACAATAAGAACAAGCTACTATAGCAACTGCTTTCCTTTAAAACTACTACTTTAAAATAATGAGTCAAATATCCACATAGAAGATTCATCCAGTTTATGAAAACTGCAATTAATTCTTAGCAAAGGGTATCCCAAACAAGTTATATTCAGTTAGGACTAATATAACACATTTCCTTTCTACTTCCCGTTTTGCTAAAAATTATAAACTTTATGACTGATACTATTTTATGACTTACCCAGGAATACAAATTTTAGAAATGATATTGAAATAGATCTAGCCAGTTACTTAAACTTCCAAAGATGCCAGCTACCATTGGGTGGCGTGTGGTCTGTGACATACTTCCCATCCTTTAAAAAACTGCTCTATTTTGACTTATTTTTGTTGTAAAATAAATTAAAACAAATCTCAGAAGAAAAACATAGTCAAGTGTGGTTCATACTAGAAAAACAGAAAGCTTGTCTTTGATATTTTTCATTATTCAAAAACGGTCACATGAGCTCCCACACATGAGACCCACAACCAAAGAATATATTCAGTATGTCCTTTTGTAAAGGGAGATTTGTTAGTCATTCAAGATGCAAATCAGGGCAGATCAAATTTCAAACAAAATGACTGATAACATTCACAACTTTTAACTGTAGCAGCAGACTTTTACAGATAGGTGACTCAGCACTCCCTCTGACTCCCATCTTGCTGTCCCTAATGCACTATCGGGTGAGAGAATTAAAACAGTACTTCCTAAACTCAGTGAGTTATATAATGTCTAATTACTGGGTTGTATACCTGAAACCAACATAATATTGTATGTCAACTGTAACTGAAAAGGAAAAAATTATTTAGTCAAAGAAAAAATAATAGTACTTCCCAGACTGCACTGCAGCTTGTGTCCCACATATACTAGTAAAACATCTTTGCCATTCCTATCACCTGCACATTTAATTCACCTATCTGATCTGAAGTAAAAACAGATGGAGTTTAGGGAAAGGAACTTATTTTAAGTTTAATTGGGTGGCAATTACAACAGTAATTACAAATATGGTCTCCTTGCAGGACCAAATCTGCTCAGTCACTGGCATTTGCATTACAACTAAAGCAGTTTTCTCCAATCCAACAAGCAATCTAATGGATTTGAAAGGGTCTGAGGGATGGTTTAAGGAGCTTATGACATGACCAAATAGGGTGAGACCGCATGACAGTTATTGGCAGAGTCCCCTAAGGTTTTACGCAAGCTAAAAACTCTTCATCTGCTAATTATTATTCTTTTGAGAAATAACCCCCTGACATACAATTACCTGGAAACCTGGAAACCAAGGGACCATGTAACCTGAGCTTCATCATGAGCCAGACTTTACCTAACGGTAAGCCATGAAATCCTAATCAGGCATGTTCAGCACCACCACTCCCTTATCAAGAAGAAGAGGAGGTCATGAACACATGAGAAACATGCCCTAGTGTGTCTACTCCTAATGCAGTATCATTTCTTCCTCAACTCTCACTTATGGCTTCATGGGAGTTCCTAGGACATGTCAATTTAAGAGGAAAGAAATCTGACTGTGGCAGATGGCTTTGCACGATATACTGGCAACAAGTAGAACTAGCCTACTCCTGCATTTCAGCCCCAAGCAGGAGTGGCTCTAAAGCACAGTAAAGAAGGTAGATCCTTTTGGAGGGTGGAATATTAGAGTAAACATCTGGCTTTCTACTTTGAGTTGAAGGAGAGATGGCCAGAATTACTAATCCATACCCATTTGTGGGCAGTGGTTATTCACTTGTTACAATGATCAGAGACTTGAAAGAAATCAGATTAGAATATTGGTAACAATAAGGCTTAGAAAAGAGGTTTATGGGACAGACCTGAGGTGAGGATATTTGTGTCCTCATGCTTACTCATAAGTTCCCTTTGCAGAAAAATTCTCATTAATATCAGGTGGATAAAGTTATCTCCTCTATGATGATCAACCAGACTCTTTTCCTAACCACACCAATACTCAAAGGATACAAAAACAAGTGGACAGAGGCAAGGAGACAGAGATTACACATGGGTGCTACACGGGATGTCCTCTCACCAAATCTGATCCAATTACTCCAGGTGTCCAATCTGCAAGGAACGGAGTACACTGGGCCTCCCATTCCTGGTAACATGTCAGTTACATTAAACTCTCAGCATCATAGAATAGCAGCCATCTGTTCTCATTGAACAGACTATTATTCTAAATATGATTTGCCTTTTCTGCCTATAATGCATTAGCTAGCAAACCACCCACAGACTTATGAAAGACTTATTCCCACAAAATACTGCTTCTAACCAGGGCCCAGAACCCTGAAAAATGAAGTTTGGGTCACCCTACCAGATTAAGAACTGTGATTATTAAAAGTACTGAGGGGAAAAGAAGAGTGAGGGAAGTCGATTTTGAATGCCAATGAAGTCCTCAGAATGAGTTTCAAAAACAGAGAAAAAGAAGACTAAAGAAGTCATCCATATTTCCCTCCTTGCTTGGTATAATTATTTCCCTCCTGCACCCCAATTCCCTTTCTATTTTTTATAAGGTCTGTTGTTGATGATTTTACCATTATAATTTAATGTAGAAGCTACAAGCTGGGTTGTGACTAAAATCAGAGGAAGACTAAACATCAACCAGAGATGCTATGACAGTAAATTTGTGCCTCCCCATTTGAAGAAATGGTACCACATTTTCCGATGATTCAGGAATAATTACTACTGTTTAAAAGTTGATATATGGAAGGAAGCAGGTACAGAAAGCAAGTATGAATGATTAGTCAAAGGTGGCAAATACTATACATCCACTTCCAAACCACTTCTAGCTCATTTTCCTTGAAACCCTAAACTGTATTTTCCCCAGATACCCTTGAACAAAGGTGCAGACTAATGGGCTATGTTAGCCAAACTGACAAACCTGAATGACATTTAGATACAGAAGTGAGCAACATAAAAATGAGGCTGCATGCAGGGAGATTGGATAGTTTGGCAAGAACAATGGTTGAGATATCATGTTCTTCTGGGCCATCTCTGTTGACCTTTCTCAATTGAAGCTTGAAATCATGGGTGCCAAACAGCAGAGGGCATGGGTGTTTCCAATGTTCCTGAAAAGTATAGCACCCAAGCTTGGTTCTATAGTCCTCCAGAGATTCTATGAGAACTTAATATCCTACATTCCTTTCTGCTGATATTACATACAGTGAATTCTGAACTTAGCAACTAAGAACTCTAATATAACCCATACCTTTATTCTTTATTCTAAACTAGGTGAGGATGAGTTTCCCTCACCCATAATCAAAAGCACTCTAATACAAAAATTGGTAAGAAGTGAAGTGCTTGAAGAATAGACCCTAGAGATGTGGCATTTATTGACAGAATCAAAGTGGAAGCAGAAACTGAGCAAGACTGGTGGCAGAGGCAGCAGTCTTTGTAGTGAGGTTCCTGTTAGAACACTGCCATTGTTGGGTGCTCTTGGCTTCACAAGTCCTGGCTGTGAAGCATCTAAACTTGAATCCCTGGAAACTCCTAGAGCAGTGGTTCTCAACCTTCCTAATGCCATGACCCTTTAATACAGTTCCTCATGTTGTGGTGACCCCCAACCATAAAATTATTTTCGCTGCTACTTCATAACTGTAATTTTGCTACTGTTAAGAATCGTAATGTAGCCGAAACCGGTTTGGCACAGTGGATGGAGCGTCGGCCTGCGGACTGAAGGGTCCCAGGTTCGATTCCGGTCAGGGGCATGTGCCTGGGTTGCGGGCACATCCCCAGTGGGAGATGTGCAGGGGGCAGCTGATCGATGTTTCTCTCTCATCGATGTTTCTGACTCTCTATCTCTCTCCCTTCCTCTCTGTGAAAAATCAATAAAATATATTTAAAAAAAAAAAAAGAATCGTAATGTAAATATCTGATATGCAGGATGTGTTTTTATTGTTACAAATTGAACATAATTAAAGCATAGTGATTAATCCCAAAAACAATATGTAATTATATGTGTGCTTTCCGATGGTCTTAGGCGACCCCTGTGAAAGGGGTGTTCGACCCCCAAAGGGGTCGCGACCCACAGGTTGAGAACCACTGTCATAGAAGTTCTGTAAGCCTTCTAACACCCTATAATAAATTTCTTCCTCCTTAAACTAGCTCACTCAAATGGATTCTGTCATTTCCAATTACAGTTTGTTCAGTATCCTTTCCAACTTCCTTGTAGTTTCACTTTCCTATAATGTAAAGATCAGAAATCCAAACATATTTCCAAGACTTCCCTGTGATTTATTTCTTCCAATCAGATGTGCCGTATGTGTATAAGACCTAAATTCTGAAGTGAAGTAAGCAGGGTTAAGAGAGGATGGTGCACCAGGCAATTACTAGTATTCTGCGGCATTGAAGAAGCACAAAATGGTTCTAGAGCCCAAAGCTCTGCTAGTGGTTTCCTGATCCCAACATCAAGGTGAAGTAGTGTGATCCTGGAGCAGAAGTTAACCCAGCAGCTTCCCAGTTTCCATATGGGGTAGAGGTAGGAGCTCACCCGCTGGGCCATTTCTGTGGGATTGTTTTGAAACCTAGCCTGGGGCCTACTTCTCCAACCCTCTCAATGATTTTAGCAACAAATTTCCGAATTTATATCCCATTCTGTTCATAATAGCTACTGTGTTTTTGTTATCTGGAACAGCTAGGAAATATTTTTGTTAAACTGACTTGATTGCATGAAGAAAGAAAGACCTGGCTATTTTTAACTTCGAACTTTATAGGTTACTTTACATATTTCAGGTTCTGTTTCTGTTTAGGTTTAGGATATAGAATTCCACAGGAGAATGTCATTCCTACCCTAAAAATTAGGGGGGAAAAAAGATAATCTACAAAAACTTTAACAATTTGTGAGTCTATCTTAAAGCTAAGGTTACAAGACAATCAACTGAATTCCAAAATCATTCTGAAGAGACACAGGACTCATGAACTACCTTTACTTTGGCAGAGCATAAAAA